TCCCTTTTTTTTTTTTTTTTTATAATTTGAGGGGGGGGGGAGATAGCTCTGAGACTGAAGACTAGGTCGCATCCTCAAGCAGGCGCGGCAAGCTCAATGTGTTTTCAAAACACTGGAAGCAGTGGTCCTCAACTGGGGATGATTTTTCCCCCAGGGGCTATGTGGCAAGGTCTAGAGATTTCTGGCTGTCACGACTGGGAAGGTGCCCCTGGCATGTTGTTGACAGAGGCCAAGGGATGCTGCTAACATCCTACTGGGCACAGGGCAGACCCCTAGAGCAAAGACTAGTCCCCCTCGACATTCCAGTACTGCTGAGGTTGGGAAACCTGGTCCCACTGGCCTTCTAGAATCTATTTAATTTGTAGGCATCTCTCTCTAGAACAAAGCAGTTGAATGACATATTTTGTATAATGACTAAGAAATAGCTTACTGGATTGTGTTTTTGGTTTCTCTGGGTCACATAGAAGAACTTTATACTACAGATACATGGTCAAGCCTTCTGAACATAAACTCATAAACATGCCAGTGTCCACATGCTTCAGAGTTATCTCAGCCCAACCTTTTCTAGGCATATTTAGCATGAATGTCCAAAGAATAGCAAATACAAAAAAAGTCCTTCAGTGAGGTTTATTAGAATGTGAAATCATTTCCTATGGGAGGTGTGATAGAAGCTTCATTGCCAAAAGCATTTAAAACTAGCCTAGAGTGTGAACTTTATAAAACAATTTTTGTCCAACAAGGGGACAAACTAAATAACCTAATAGTCCTTTTCCTTAATATCGTGTATTTTTCTGATCACTTCTGATGATACCATTTCACCTTTTGCTTTAATATAGCTTAGTGTCATCCAGAAAATGCTTTGAGATGTCAGGCCAAGCCCGTGTGAACTGTTAAATGTCAAAAGAAAATGCATCAGTGTCTCTCTAAGTTCATAGTGATGACATTACCATATGAAAAAATAAAAAGGGAAGTTCTGTCAGCACAAACATGATCATAAATGCAACATTCATGGCATTAAAGAGAGGGGCAAAAGCATATCATGACAGACGGTTTGGGAAATCCCATTGCTGTTTATCAAAATAAAAGTGTAGAACCTCATTTTAGTGAATCCTGCCAAAGTAAAAATTGTGAGTCAACCACCCTGGTCATGAACATCCATCATATGAATATGTTTTTTAGACTGTCAGAGCACTTTGGGAAATACTATACATTTGTCTTTGAAGAACATTCATTAAAATATATCTCACCAAAATGCACATACCCACATACATGTTCCTGACGTTTGCCAGGTAGGGCCCGTGAAAACACAATTACCCCAAACTTCTCCAGCTAAGAAGTATATAATTTGTAGACAATGGAAACTTTGGGGTGGTAAAACGGGGTCTAATTGGTATTTTGGATGATTTGGGTGATTTTTAGAACATTCTAACAGTACTTCCAAAGCTGAAGCAATTCACTTTTAATTAATTTAAAACTACGGAGTACTTCGGTAGTCATGTGGACTTTGAAAATGTTAATTTATTGCCTTCACATCCTGTTAACCTTATCAAGACAAAGGCTACTCTTCGCCATTGTATTTTTTTCTCTAACCTATGGGGGAGATCACCCAGTATCCTCTCTCCATTAGCTAGATACACTCCTAAAGCTGTTTTACTAGCAAAAGAACTTGGGAATGAAAAACAGAGAGAGGGTGGAAATGTAAAAATCTTGATTAGAAAGTATAATTTAATAGAACATGTATTGAACCAAATGTATTGATTAATGTAGAAGATATAGTACTTATATTGATTCAAACCAGAGATTTAGTACTAAAAGCTCTAAGCCAAAAGGCTGCTGCAGATTTGCTACAAAAGTCAGTTTAATGCTGTCCTTGAGAGTGCCTTCACAAAGAAATTCTTCTAATGTTTGAGGACTAGGTAGAATGCGGTATATGTCAGTTTGATCCCGGAGGGTTTTATTTTGTACTCTAATAGCTGTTACGAGCCTACATTATATCCAAGGAGTAATTTTCCTTAGGGGTGCCCGGCTCGCTTTGTGTCAATATTCTAGCATTTTAAGTCACGTACAGTATATGCTTCTGGGAACAGGGAAGGAGCCAGCCAGACTCATAATGGTCTGCATTCATTAATAAAGGCAGAAGCTTCTGTCCCTCCACTGCCCGCTACAGGGATGCCTCTTTGGCCTTCAGGGACCCGTGCAGACACATTTAAAGAAAGCTTTATTTTGAGTGGGCAGGAGATAAAATGTAGGACTCGCAGGCATTTCCTAAGTCAGCTATATGCCCGAGCACAGGGTGACCTTAATGGGTCAAAGAAGAATGCAGGTCAAAAGACTTATTATCCAGGCTGTTGGAAACCAATTGCTTTTGTTTAAAAAAATAAATAAATAATTAAAAAAAAAAAAAAGGCAGTAGTGCTTAAAGGTGGACGACAATGTAGAATTCTGTTTGCAGCCTGTAACTGCACGACCGTATGTGTACTGGGATATGCTTCTAGAAAAATGAAAGCATACAGACTATCCATAGTGCTTACAGATAAAGGTCCAGCTCTCGTGATAAAAGGAAGGGTAATATAATTAGTTAATCAGTGATGATTGATTACGGATGTGTGCGTTCTTCAACTAAAGAAAAAACAACATGCTGTCATGGTGCTGTCACCATCTGTTGAAAGAAACAGCCACATTTAATCCTTCTATGTCTTTTATTTCTTCCCGCCTTGCATTGTTGCAAAGCCACAATTGCCTACTATTTCTTCTGGTTGGAAAACATCTCATTTAAATTGAATACAACTGCAGTTTAAATTCGGGATTCTAATGGCATGGTGAATTAGTGGAAAGCTTGTTATATATTTTTTTCATTCCTTTTTAAAATAGCATGCTGTCTCTTTTTCTTAGTTTTAAAAGCTTGTCAGAATTTGAGACAAAAGGCTATAAATACACAACTCATGGTAAAAATGATTAACATCTTTGAATCAACAAATCTCACAAAACTTCCATTCTGACAGTTTTTATTTTTATTATCACTGCTATGTAACATTTTGCCGATGCCAACAGAGGGCTACAAAGCACAGACAACGAGACGTGGTCCGTCAAAATATTGGACAAGCGAGGGCAATCTGTGGTACCACTTTTGGGGCTAGGGACTTAATTTTTCTACCCTGGGAAGGTAGATTCCCCCTGGCTTTCCTCCAGAGCTTAACTTCATCTTTGTTATAGGTACAGATATTCAAATTCACATCAAGATCACAGGAAAATGGGATAGTTTGGCCAAGGTGAGCAGTTACAGGGGATGGTGGGTTGTTTTTTTTTTTTTTTTAATTTAAAAATATTTTGCTTGGATTGCATTTTAAATAGGATTAAACCGTTTGACCAGTAAATGTGGTCAGCCCTCTGAAAGGAGGTGGCTGAATTAATCATGTGTTAGCGTGCCAAGCCCAAAATGAGAATTCCAGTCTTGTAAAATGAAAGGCATCTCATATTTTAAAAGAAATTCATAGTGCTAGAAGGGAATTTTTAAGGTCCTCATCTGTTTTTTAGCTTTCTAAGTTTAATTTCACATTTTAGAGAAAAATAGATAGAACAAACTCCTTCTAAATGGGGCCCTTTACAGTAAAGAGTGTTTTTGTTGTTGGTTTTTTTTTTAAACCTGGCTATTAAAGTATCATACCTAGATGGATCGTCTTTTAAGCTTTAAGGTGTGTTGTGAATTTGATTTTTTTTTAACACAAACCCCCCTCGTGTAAAACAACTGTTCATAACTGGGATTAATGGTTTTCAATTTTCAGTTACTTAGACATGGGGTCTCCAAGAGATGGCTTTTTGCAGAGTAGAATATGGCTCTCTGTGGGATTACAGAAGTTTTCTTCTCTTCCAACTTCCTTTTCTGTCATCACCCCCCCCAGCCCGCGTCAATGTTGCACTGATGTTCTCCTCGATTATGTAAAACACTTTCCCTTCATTGGAACAGATATTTTTTTCTCATAACCTGTCATTGCATTAAAGTACCTTGGGGACTGTGAATTGCTGTGTAAAACTGGTGAGATTACCCACTGCTTTGTTCTAGCGTAGTGGTTTCCTCCAGACCCAAAGAACAGAAAACTCGTATAGGAGAAGGCTGCTTGCGCGTGGCCTGGCAGCCTTTTCTCGCCCTGCACATCCCCGTCTGTGCTGCAGGGGCTCAGGAAGGGCTCTGTGGTGTGGCGGGGTGTGGGGAGGAGATAGGGCAGGCACCTCCCCTCTCCTTGGGCTTAGCGCTTCTCTGGTCTACTTTTCATCTTTCCCACTCGCTTCTTGTCTCCCTTTCTGTCTGTGATTTTAAAAACACACCAAATAGGTGGAAGGCTCCCATGAAGCAACTTCTTGTTTCTCTTATCCTTGGACCTTCAGTGAAGTCTGGAGACAAACACTCCTCATCTTTCTCTCCAACCCCTAAAAACCAACCCAGTAACCTGTGCAGCTCAGACATTCCTTCCTTCCTCCAGAAGATGAAATCAGGCCATTTGTATTTTCAGTGACTCAAAGTACTGCGTGGAGGAGGGAAACAGTCACATCCCAAAGATCCTCAGAAGTGGTGAGGACAAGCCCTTGAGGACTGGATCAGAATCACCTGTTTGTTTTGTTTTCAATGCAAATATGCCCAATTGCCACCTTGAGAATCACAGACAATGGTGAGCCAGGACTGGGAGGCCTGACCTCACCCTCAGCTGATCTGGAGAAAAAAAGAAAAAGAAGGACAAAAAGTGATCTCAATGGTATGCAGGTATCTCTACACCAAGAGAACTTTCTGCCTTTACCATGTTTCATGCCAGATTTCCCATTTAGACGTGATTTGTATTACAGCTCTTTAGTTTTGTTGAATCTTGAATTTTGCAAGCCATACCCTTGTCCTTCTCGCAAATGATATATATTCTTTTCTCTTAATATGCAAAGCATACATCCTTTATAGTAGCAACTTCAGTCTGTTGCAATAAGTCATTCATATGTATTTGTTCATTTCTTTGCAGCTCCGAAGAGACTTGTATGGCTTTGGTTTAGGATGAAAGCATCCAAGAAACAACTGTTGCCAACTATTATGGCCAACTTGTGTTAGGTTTTTGTTCTGCAGTATCTTAATATAGGCACATAGAAGAACACAGGATAGATTGCAGTATAGCTTCCTTTATTAACAACTAAAATTCGAATGAATGTGGAATGTCTATAGTAAGCGCTTAAATTTTTAAATAATGTTATTAAACTGATCTCTGTTTTTTACTTTATGATAAAAAGTAATCACACATCCTCCTGTCAACGTTCTACCATTTAGATAACTATTGTCATAGATTCTTGTATTTATTTTCTTAATTTTTTAAATTAAAAAGAAAGCACCTTTCTGTAAGATCAGGCTTGATTCTTTGAGATAGGAAAATGCATGAAAAAGTTTAGACAGTGCATTTTGAGTAACTGAACTTTTTTTACTGTCTATAACCTCTTTGATCATAATTATGTTGCTATTTAAGGGGATAGCAATGTTTCTTAGTCTCATCAGTATTTTGATTACCCTTTATGTCTACGTGTTGGTGAAAAATAATTTGCAGAAGTATCTATTTAGAATCAATACAAAGAAAAAAAGGGTTGGCATAAAACTGGTCTGCTCCTGTATGTACTTTTAGGCGAGTACTACTAAAGAAAAATTTAAAATCCAGCTTGTCTTGTACTGAATTAATAAAAATGGTATGCTTTAAATAAGGCTGAGTGAAATAACATCCTCATTATTTGCTGTCAATCTTCTGACAAAATGGGCTTAGTTTGAAATAGGGAACGGAAGACCTGGGTCCTTTTCACAAGACTCATGTTTCCTTCATTGGTGCTCTTAGCCCCAGTTGGGCAACCCTGAGCAGCCAAGCCTCTGGTCCTGCATCCTTTACTCATCGGGCAGGCATTTTGCTAGTTTGGTGGGGGATGAAAAGATAACAAAGATCTCTGAGACAAAGCCCTCTGTTGCAAACTTTCCATAGCTCCTCTTTCCCTACAAGACAAAGCCTGAACTCCTTAGCCAGGTACAGAGGGCTCTTCATAATCTGCCCACAAACTTCTCTCTATCTTTATTTCTCATCAGCATGCTAGGTTCTGGACACTTGAGAAGATTCCAACCAAACTGAACGAGTTGCAGGTCCACGAACATACCTTGCATATTCTTCTTTGCCTTTACCCACACGGGTCTTTGGCCTGGAATGCCCGCCCTGCACCCCAAATGCCTCTTCATTCATATTCATTCATATTATTCCAGCCTCAACTAAAATGTCACGAGTTACGTCCACTGCAAAGCCTTCCCCAAAGGCCAGGCAGGGTTAGGCGTGCATGATACTCCTATGGTCATTTCCAATATAATCCCACCAGGTTGCTTTACCATCATGTGCCCACGTGACTTTCTTGAGACTGTGAACACTCTAAAGATGTGAAGGCAGGGACCATCCTTCTCCCATCAGTGGCCCTTGCCTAGCTTGTCAGTCGTTCAATTAGCCAGACCCGCTTTGCTGAGTGCTGCAATCCTGGGGGCTACGCCTGGTGGTGATACCAGGATTCAAGAGATGCTTGTGAAGGAATGAATAAGTGAATGAAGACCAAAATTACAGACACTGGGAGAGAGCCGAAATTGCAGATAACCACAAGACCCCGGATGCATACAATATAAGCAGCATAAAGCACAGTGGGAAATCAGAGAAGGGGGAAAGCAGTTTTAGACGGGATGGGCATGAAGTGGTAGTATTTTGTGGTAGACCGCAAGGTTCTGATCAGAAGGGATGGGGAAGGGGGTCGACTGGGAGAGGTGGGAGAACGAGGCTCAGGGGAGGCACAGCGGAGGGAAGGTGCACATCAGGCCACCTCCAGGCGTTTGCTCCAAATGAAAGTCCCGTGGACCTGTGACCATCCCCCGTGCAGGCCACAGGCCCAGGTCTGGAGCCCAGTGTTCACCCCCAGGGCCTGGCTTGTAGTTATAAGTTACCCAGGAGTCCCAGTTGCCGGCTCACAATTTGGAACCGGGATGTTGGTTCAGAAAGGGGACATGCTGTGTGGATGGAGAGGAGGCCACCAGAATACAACAAGGACTGCACCCGCTGGGGACGGGGGAGGTTGCAGGCTGCTGTGATCTGCTCCTGCGCCAGGATGGGACCCAGCACCAAGCCCACCCCAAGGAGAGGAACTGGAGAAGCTTCCTGTCCTCTCTGTCAGTTGGCCAGGCTGTTCTTGCCCGTAAAGTCTATATTCAGGGACAGATAGAGCCTCTGCTGTTAAGACGTTCACCTTCTAAGAGTGAGTAGAACAAAAGCATCTGTAATGGATGGAAATGATGCGCAGATAAATGTAACTGTTAAAATAGTGCTACCCAGGCATTTGAAAAGACGGTCGTATCCTGATAAGAAGAGATGGTGGAAGGTAGGGCGGCGGTCTCCGGGGAAGCAAAACAGAGGCAGAGAAAGGGGAGACCCCTGGCCCCGCCCTTCCATCCTGGCTCCCACTGGGGGAGGGGAGGAGCCGGTCCCATGAGCACCGATTCATCTGGGTGCAGAAATACAGTATTTAGGTCATTATAAATCAATCAGCACTTATAGATACTTGGTTTGATGAAAATACAATCACTTAAGGTTTTTTTTTTTTCCCCCTCTTTCATTACAGAATCATACGATGACCCAACACAGCAGTTAGTGCAAGCACGGTCTCTCAAGGAGAATGACTTTTGTGGCACAAAAAGGGAACATATTTTACTCTTTGCACGAAACTTTCATTGTTAATGTATATTATTCAGAAACATTGTATTGTACCATAAAACTTGTATTATCAAAACTGTTGGATGTTCATGTGTTTGAACTTTTGAGCACCGGATAGACCCCCTGTATATAAAGTGTCTCACATGTATTATGTCGTCTGATACTAAAATGGTCTTATAAAGACAAGTGGACTTGGGCCCTATTCAGGCAAGATTTTTTTTAAAAATGTGAGCAAAATGGCTTAAGAGAAAGTATTTTCAAGGAAGACAGATTAAAACAACCCTGTTACACAGGAGACTATGTTTGGACTTCCTTTTCTTAACACTTAAGCCTAGAATTTCTCTTTTGGTAGATCAACAGTTAAACCCAAGACTATTTTTTATTGCTGAAGATCCTTGCAAACCATGAAGAGATGTTCTCACAGAACCCCACAGCTGGATAAGGCCCGTATATATATTTGTAAGCCTTGCAATGTGACAGGTAGCATCACTATATATGCAATAGTTGTTATGTAGACTGTCAAAGAATTTTTTTTTTTTCCTGGATACATTTGAAGCTTTGAGTGTTCAAGGTTTTCCTTAATGATTTCACACAGCCAAATTCTTGAATCAGTTGAACTAACCTGTATGTTACTGTTATTAATGTTTACTCTGCGGTCTGAACCTGGAGATTACTGGAATTGTTTTCCAAGAGGAAATAAATTCAGTTTACCATTAGGTATGAGTGTATTTGTGTGTTTTCTTTTTCTAGTTACTCTGCCATTAAAAAAATCTAATTGCCCGCATCCTTGGAAATGAGTTCTGCTCTTGAGAATATCCCAGGCATAACCTCAATCATATTTAAGCTTTCCACGCTGGGCCAAAAGCAGCTGGGAGGAGATTCATCACATCGCATAGGGAAGGAATCAGACCCGATGTACTTCTTCCTCTTGCAGATCCTACCAGGTCACATTGTACTGAAGGATTTTGACATCACAGATGGATGTGATGGCTGTTTTCTGCATAATTTGCAGCCCAATTCATGTCGTGCTGTGCAAATCTGAACTCAAAGTAGATGGCTGCAATTTGAGAGGCAGTTTGGCTTATGTGTACTTAAGAAGCAGCTTTGTTCATTCAGAAGACAAAGCACAGAGCGGGGAGCCTGTGAGCCTCGCACTGGCACAGAGCGCAGACTCTCGGTGTGATCTTCTCCACATCAGCCACCTCCAGGCCTCAGTCCCCCAGCCCGGAGAGGTGACACTGCTTGGTCATAGGCCTTCACGCAGGCACGGGGTGCTGCCTGGAAGTTTGCTCACTGGTTGCTCACACCATGGCTTGCCACAAAATGGTGAATGAATAGGCACTCGAATTTCAGAGGCTTTTTTTGGGGGGGGAAGAGAATAGCCATGTGTACATTGAGTCCTAATATACATGTTTAGCCGAAATCAGTAACTATAGACCTGATATTAGTGGGCAACTTTCATCCACATCCTGCTTAAAATACTTCACCCACTGTGACTCTTTCACCCTCTTTGAAACTCTGAGGACCTCAAGCAGCTCTTTAAACAAGCGAGAATCTTCACAGCACTTTTTTTGGTGGAGAAGCTAAGGCATGGACTGATTCACTTTATTGTGACCACCTGTCACCAGGGGAACCATGAATGAAACCCAGATACCAGCCACGCAAGGTGTAAGCCTCACCCCATGGTGCTCAAACCCTAGCCTGTGTCAGGATCACCTGGAGGGCTTGTTACATCACAGGGTACTGGACCTGACACCCAGAATTGCTGAGTCAGTAGACCTGGTGGGGCTCAAATGTCTGCAGTTCTAGGACATTCCCAGCTGGGGCTCACGTTCCACACTTTGGAGGGCCACACTTTGAGACCCACTGTTCTACGCCATTTCCAAATTAGTTGAGTGCATTGAATGTGAATAGCCATGCAGAGTGCTGGCAAATTATATTACTTATTTTGATACCAATAAAAGAAAGTTTGGTCAAATTTTAGGATCATTCAGAAACAGGTACCTCCTGGTAATTAATGTACGTTTGCTTGCCAGAATGTATCGTGTGTGTGTTTAGTTTTTTAATGCTAGGAAAACCTACATCTATACATTTCACAATGGATTGCCAGCATGCTATTTAATTAAAAAGCTTTTTCACCAGCTACATAAATAATGAAGTATGCTAAGAATATGCAAGTACATTCATAATTAAAATACTCAGCTATATTTAAAAAAATTAAGATCTCTGGCCTATTCAAGGATTTTGCATTTAAAATGAAATAGCCACACGATGATTTTTTAAAAAGCTTTAAAACCTCAGGTTATTAATGAGTGGGTTATATTTTACTAAAAGGAAGCTGCTCTTCATTCATGAAAAGGAAAGCAGGTGATGGTATTATCCAGGGATGGAGCCTAAGCTGCCTTTAACAGCATCACCTCTGAGAGACTTCCCAGGCTCCTGGTAAACAGCAAGGGTTGGAATTCCTAGGAAGCAATGGAGGCTGGTGCTTATCATTCTAGAGGCTGTCACATGGCTGGCCATTGGGCTCCTTCAATACAAGCATGTTTCAGCCTCTTCCCAGGTAAAGCTGGAGGCCAAAGAGGTTGACTCATTGCTCCATATGCCTGCCTGATCCTCCAGTGACTATGAGATCGTTCAGATTCAGCAGGCCCTTCTTTATAACCAACCATTCTTTGGATCATAAATACTGAACGGTGTGTGGAACAGTCATTCCCTCCTTCTGCTTATTACCTTGTTTATATTTATTTCCTGCTTCATTCCCTAAGAATATAAGGCAGCTTAAATAAAGATTAACAAAACGTTAATAGGGAAAGCAGCATCGTGCAGAGAAGAGAAAATACAGTAAAGCAGTTGGCTTGTTTCTGCTTTAATTTTGGTTTTGAATGCATTTCCGCACTGGCTTTGAGCTTCCTGGTAGTAAAGGGAAAAACAACAACAGAAAGGAAGGATTATACCACTTGCTCACGAGAGATCTTTTTCCCTATCACTCAATTCCAAAAGAAATTTCTCAGTGACTTTATATGCAGTCAGGTGGCCAATACAATGGCCACCGTTCCTGACCCTAATTTTATGATCTCATGCAGTGGCTGTCATCTGGAGGAGTGTGGCTGCACCTACGGGCAGAGGCCAGAGATGCTGCTAAACATCCTATAATCCACAGGACAGGTCCCCAGAACAAAGAATTATCAGGTCCCAAATGTCAACAGTGCCAATTTTGAGAAACTGCTCTAATGTAAAATTCTCTATGATTGTTCAAGGACCTTTTTACATTAGAATTATCTGGAAAACTTTAAAACTCTATTGCCTGCAAGATTCATATATGTGTGTGTGTGTGTGTGTGTGTGTGTGTGTGTGTATATATGTATATTTTGGCCTCACTGTGTGGCTTGTGGGATCTTAGTTCCCCGACCAGGAATTGAACCCCTGGGCCCCAGCAGTGAAAGTCCTAAACACTGGACCGCCAGGGAATTCCCCTAAAAAACTCTATTGCCTGAATCCCACCCCCAGAGAGGCTGACTTAATTGGTCTAGAGTGCAAACATGCCCCCGGTGATCCTAGTGTAGCCACACCTGAGACCCACTAGGCCAGGCTCCATTCACACGTAAGTATACTGGGCTCAAGACCAGAAATTTGAAAATAACATCCAAGGAGTAGAGAAGTATGGGCCTCAAACTCTCTTTCCTCAACATTACTTTTTAACAACTGGGCGTGTAATGCTTATTTTAACTCTAAAGTAACATAACCTATGGCAAGTTTCAGAAGAAGGGGAAAGGGGGAAAATGACCCAGAACCCCACGTGGCACCCTTACTCCTGATTCAGGATCACAAGCTTTATGAGTGAGAAATCTGACCCCATGGGAACTCTGGCCGCCCAGAGAGCAAATCACCCATCACCTGCCAAGGCCAGGTCGCCCAGTGTCTCAGGAGAAGCCAGCAATCCGGGTGGTTATGTGCCATGTGCCAATTTCTGAATGTTGGCAGCCTACTCTATTTGTTATTCAAGCTCTGCTGACCCCCACTGTGCAGGCCATATGAGATAGACTTTCGGGCCAGGCCCTACTCTTGGATTGCCAGGTTTGACCTTCAGCATCAAGTATTATTTTTTTCCAATTATTTTCATTCCAGACTAATTAAAATGTTTGTTTAAAACTATTATACGGGGCTTCCCTGGTGGCGCAGTGGCACGGG